TTTTAAATTTGTTTTTGAAAAATACAAGTTGATTCTTCGTAGTGTTCCGAAATCAAGGTTCTCCTAAATCCTGAAGACGTTAGGACCCAACCAGGTAACCATCTGAAGAAGTCGCATCTTTAGAAAGTAAGTAATTGGGTTCGGAGTCGAGTCCTATAATTCCTAGCTTTCAATAGTCGGGAACCTAGCCGCACAGCACTATTTCAGAGTAGCATATCGAGTACTGTAATCGTTAGTACCGGCACCGTAGAGAGCAAGGGGAAAAGGAGCAGGTACACACCACAGAATTCTACACAGAATGCACTAAGTGTAGAATTCTGTGGTACACACAGAACAAAGATAGGTGTCAACGACAACACAAGCCACAATCATGGAACGTTGTAGGTTTTAAGTCTTATTAAACTCTTGAGCACAACCCGAGAAGTTGCTTAATTTATTAATGTTTAAAATTGTTGATGTTCTTGACTGTTCTCAAGTAGAATATATAACAGAAATGAAACTTTTAGACGTACAAAATGAGGCAAACTCTTTTCTGCCAGAACTTGTGTCATTGGCCACAGCAGAAGCCGCAATTCATCTTAACCTTTAATTCTTCTATTTTGCTTATGATAATGTTCTCCTCTGCGAATGCATTTGTCATTCTCAGACATTTGCGGACCAACTATTACTATTATTCCCAAGAAATGTCATAAGTTTTACTACAACTTGCAACGGTGTCTCTATCTCAAGTGTATTTCATTTGCATCTTCCTCTCTCATTTCTCGTTTATCTGGGTCTATGATGTGTCTCTCCTGGTCTCAAACGTCTTTGTCTGGTCTGTAAATATAGAGTTTCTTCTCCTGTCATTTTGGGGACCGAGCATGGCCAAACTGTTTTTTGGTTTGTTTGTTTTTGTGAGTGTTTTACGGCGCTCGCAACTGCAAATGCCATATGAGCGCGCGGGACCCATTAAACATTTTCAGTTGGTAGTAAATTTTTAATTTTTCCCGGGTGGAGGCCGAAGCCTATTCTTATCGATTTTAGTCCACCAAGGGATCTTTAACATGCGCAATTAATTGCACACGGGCCCTCCGAGATTTTTCGCCCTTGCCAGAGAAGGCTAGATGTAGATCTTTCCTACCAGAAGATAAGGGGTGTGGCTGAAAGACAGCAGTAAGAAGGAGCCAAGGAGTAGCAGTAGAAAGGCTGCAGAAAGAGTCTGGAGCCACGAGGAGGGGGCAAAAGAGGTGAGGGGGGGGGGAGGGCAGAAAGAAGAGACGAAAGCAGACGACAGAACATTGCTGGAGAGCAGGAAGGAAATGAAAGGAGACAATTTTAGAGAAGAAAACCCACCCCTCATACGAGATTCTGCCACTTTTGCTTTTCTCTTGTCTGTCTGTATGTTTCCCTCTTCAACCCCAAATCGTTTCCTCCTCTTTCCTCCCTCCTTCTCCATCCTCCTCCCCCCTC